CATCATGCATGGTGCTACAATCTACTTCTTCGTGCTCACCAAAGCAGAAACAACCTTTGTTTTTTCTTTTGTCTACAGACTCCAGAAGGCAGTTCGGTGCGTTGGCTTCCTGCGTACAAGAATAGGTTAAGGATCGCAAGGAAGGAATATCCAACCATGAATTATTTTTTTTCAATTAGTAAAATTATGCATTTAAATCCGATCGGTGGTTTGAATGTAGACTTTAAGCTAATTTTGAGGTTATGATCATAAAGACTACAACATTGGCTGGCTTCTGATTTGGTGAACACATTGGCTAAAAGTGAAACAACTTTGAACATGCGATAAGAAAGTTAACGTGCCAGAAAACATGATGACACATAAATACGTATCAGACAGGCCCACTTCCCATAGTTTCCTGTAAATTACTGGAAGGAAAAGATGACTTTCAATGGCAATTAATTGCAGAAGAGGAAGGCTATTTCAGTAGAATCACATGTTAATACAACCGTAATATTAGTATTACACCGTATTAGTAACATTTTCTAGCTGTAACTATGGCGATTGTCACACGGATAATCAACAATGCTACTGTGGCCACTCATATATATACATGTGATATTTGCTATATGCAATATATATATATATATATACACACACATATACATAAACACAATCAATTTCTTACATTCAGCAGATGACTTGGAAACTTGTGAAAGACTTAAAAATCAGAGCAGCCAGTAATACAAACTGGGTCCAGATTACTGACATACATAATGTAAATAATAACTGCATTTATACAGCACATATCCGCTCTCTGCAGCATGCAGGGTTCCTGGCATGAACTCCCCACCAAATTCAATGAGGTTACAAGGAGAAATTTTAAAAATTCAAGGAGATTTGGTCAAGAAATTCATACTGTTTTCGACGGCACAATCGCACCCCGAAAGCTTATTTCCTATAGGACTACACGTGTCCAAATGGAATAGTAGTTTCAATTGTCTGACAAGATTTTTTTCATGTCCGATTCGCTGAAATTCAAGGAGTTTTCAAGAAGGTTCCTCAAATTCAAGGAGTTTCAAGGAAATTTTCCTTGAATGCAAATTCTGGGAGTTTTCAAGGACTCCTTGAATTCAATGAGGCTGCGGGAACCCTGTGCATTTATATAGCACACATCCACGCTCGGTAACATACTCCACATGCTTTACAACTTTTATTATCCCAGCAGACCCTTGAGCATGACTCAGAAACATTCTCTTCTTTCTGGGAAGCATACAGTGCAAGCAGCGGATTACACACTCTAAAACACTATCAAACTGACAAGATCTTTCGCTGTCCATAGCCGGGTACCCATTCCCACCTGGGTGAAGTGAGGAAACTTTGAGTAAAGTGCCTCTCCCAAGGACACAATGTCGGACCCCTGATGTGATTCAAACCCACAACCTTATAGTTGAGAGTCCGAAAACCTGACCACTACACCATCGACATCAAATAAAAATGTGAAATAAAACATGGAATAAAAATGAGGAACAACATTATATCTATTATAACCATGAAAGAGTAGGGTCATAATGTGGGAAAACAGTATATTATACATATACGTATACATACATAACATTATATATAATTATAGGATTTTACAGGACCAACTACAATACATGAAGGGTAGGCTCCATGCTACACCTTCGCCACGTCCCATCCTCCTCCTACATTCACATGATAGCATCAACCCACCGGTCAGATGTACTCAGCCACAATTAAATTTTCTTTTGTTTAAATGCAGTTTCTTTATCTCTGGCTAAAATCATTTATTTTTAAATTTAGTTTCTTCATCCGTGGCATCGGTTGCATAACATAATAATGAAATATTTTGGCAGAACTTAAATTCTAAAAGTTGAAAAAAATCAGGAAAAGATAAATTACTTCAATACAATTAGTAAAATAATCCAAACAGTTGTTTTCTTCTTTCTGAAAAATAATAATATACCAAAGTTTCTCTCAATTATTACATTCCCTTCAAACATCTCATCCAGAATTTTCAGTATTATTATTATTATTATTATTATTCTTATTATCATTATTATTACTATTTTTATTATCATCATCATCATTATTATTTCTATTATAATTATAAGTATTTTTTTTATCATTATCATCACCATAATTATATATAGGCCTACCGGTATGTAATGTCATACTTCTCTTGCTCAGATATCAATCTAATGACATCTTTCGACTACAGTGAACAAAAACCGTTGGAAACACAACGTCCGAGCAGGCAATCGTTCAAAAACTGTCACTGTCACCAATACCGTCACTGTCACCAATACCGTCACTGTCACCAATACCGTCACTGTCACCAATACTGTCACTGTCACCAATACTGTCACTGTCACTGTCACCAATACTGTCACTGTCACCAATACTGTCACTGTCACCAATACCGTCACTGTCACCAATACCGTCACTGTCACCAATACTGTCACCGTCACTGTCACCAATATGTCTGACACCCTGTAGCCACCAGGTTGTACAAACTGTCTGACCACAGTCCCACCCTCTACCTACTACCTTATCACACGTCGATGCCCCTCTTACGGGGTTGGAACCTACAGTAAAAGTCAGTGGTATATAACGGAATTGTTTATACTGTGGCTGTTTTATCATCTTAGACCAAAAGGCTAAAATTTTTCCAAACAAAATGGCTAACACCCCCGACACAGGAAGTTACTCACACAATATGTGTCACAGCGTGGTGGAATCAGACGCTCGTCAGTTTTTGGGCATGTGGAGTTATTAAGCTTGTACATTTGCCTTGCTTTCAAGGAACGAAATACCTGTTTGTCTTGAATGCAAGTCAAGATATTTGCGGTTGAAGGAGGTGGGGGTCGCTTGGTTTCAGAGGTAAAATTAGCAAGAAAATGGCTGCCAAAAATTTGGTAGCTTCCATAGCCCGAGAGTCCTTGAAAACTGGAAATTAGCATTTTTGTGCGCCTGTAACCAATTTTTAAAAGTAAAATCCACACAAAAATGTGTTTCTAAATGGATTGAAAAGGCGTCGAGCAAAAAAAAAAGAAGAAAAAAAAAGAAAAGAAAATTGGAAAAAAAAATTGCCCATCAACCAAAAATATGCTGACTTCTGGGATTTCATTATTTTTGACAAGCGCCTAATTTCACCATGCTGCCTCACATATATATATTTTATATATATTTCATACATATATGTATATATGTTAGACCCCCACCCCAGAGGGTGCAGGAGAACAAATGTAAGCGTTTTTACAGCTTGACAAACTGTACTTCTCTACTGACACAACGTCTCTTGAAGCAAAAGCTTCACGCTCATACATCAGGAAATACCTTTTAAAAATTTGAACCAATTGTCAATCACATTCAAAGTTGAAAATTTAAGTCTTTGTAATCAACATACTTTAAAGCAAAATTCTAAAAATATCCCGGTCATATAAAAAAGCAATGACATTTTACATTAGCATTTTATATTAATATCTCAAAATTCATCCAACGTTTTTATTAAAGCATGAAAAGTCTCGTCTCAGAACGAAATATACCAACAGCATGAAAGGTCTCGTCTAAGAAACGAAATATACCAACAGCATGAAAGGTCTCGTCTAAGAAACGAAATATACCAACAGCATGAAAGGTCTCGTCTAAGAACGAAATATACCATCGGCATGGAAGGTCTCGTCTAAGAAACGAAATATACCAACAGCATGGAGAAACCAGTGGAGCAGTCATATATAATAAGGATACAAATTCAAAATGAGTGAAATTTGGAGAGAGAAAAAAACACCCCAAAACATTCACATATATTTTAGTCTCTTCATGCCAGCAGATGATTTTTTAAGACTCAAAGACTCAAAATGAGTTGAAACAACTGTAACACGTTAATGAAAATCAGCTTTAATATCAAATGTTCAAAACTCGCAGACACCTACCGGACCAATAGCTATTATCTCATTCTCCTTGGACGTCTTTAGAAAAGAATTTTTTCTTAACCGACGTCTGAGGCTTCGTGGTTGCTAAGGTGTTCTGCTGCTGCATGGAGGGTTAAAGGTGTCACAAGAGAGTCTGCATGGAGGGTTAAAGGTGTCACAAGAGTCTGCATGGAGGGTTAAAGGTGTCACAAGAGTCTGCATGGAGGGTTAAAGGTGTCACAAGAGTCTGCATGGAGAGTTAAAGGTGTCACAAGAGTATGCATGGAGAGTTAAAGGCGTCACAAGAGAGTAACGGACAAAGAAAAGAAAGAGGAGAGAGGATTGTTTTTTTTTGCGTAAGAGTTTTACGGCACTGGCAACACAATAAGGTCATATAAGTGCCGAAGATTAGAGGTGTTACAATAGAGTAACAAACACAACAAAAAAAAAGAGGGGAGAAAAAGACCATAGAAGTTTGATAGGAAAGATGGACCAAACCACACCAGAGCACCCACCAACAACCCACACAAAATAAATCAAGCTAAGTTACATAATATATATACATATGCACTTTGACTAACATGGCATCAAGGGAGACATTATATGTCCACGGTATATCTGGTAAAAGAAAATTATCAACAGAAAAAGGGAAATCCTATACCTCGGTCTCCATCAGATCCAACGATTTAAGAGTGTGGAGAAAAATCAAGACCTATGAGACAAATTTAGAGACTAGGTGATGTTGCAAAAGATTGAGACACATGGAAATTGATATTCCAAAATAATGAAGGCAATTTCCTCAGAAAAAAAATGAAACCTTATCTTTCTCAATATCAGACCAAAAAAAACCCCCAAGAGATGAAGTGGAGCATTGAAATATCAATTTTTTCAATTTCAAATAAAACAAACAAAATACACACATATATATATATATATATACACTGATCATTTTCAACCATTATTGTGACAACGACATATACGCAGAGTAATATACACAGATATATACACAGGTATTTCAAGTGGCTGAGAAGTAAAAAAGAAAAATCTATATCGTGGAGTCTATGTGGAGATGCAAAATCTTTTTGAACCAGAAACTAACCGATATATACCACTGCTGTCATTCACCATTGTTATCGGTAAAAATTTTGAAAAAATGAAAAATGAAAATCCAGTAAGCTGAGGAGTTTAACGAGGCCGCATGGATTGGTATTATTCTCACTCGCCTTCTTCAAAAAGTAACGGATTTTGATGAAATAAACATTTTATGATGAAGATATACATTCAGTCCTGCAGGAGATTATGTTCAGCACTTCACAAGTTGAAGTCTAGATTTACTCTACTCAGAGAGGACATAGTATAGTGGAGTCTCGTTAAAATAAACTTATCTATATATATATAATAAAAACTCTCTTAAAGCAAGAGCTGATTCAAGACCAGATCCCACTTTTCTACATCGCTAGATCCACACAACGTAAAGCTTGCTTAAAATGAACTCAACAGTTCTGTCCTTAGAAGGTCACGATTTCGCGACCCCAGTGCTTTCTTGTCCTATCTCCATTTGAAAAAAAAGTGAAAATGTGACTTCTTCTTCAGCTCACTCTTTGTTAAGAACTGTTTTCACTGTTTAAAAAAATGGAGATATGACAAGAAAGCACTGAGGTCGCAATTTGGGCTCTGCTCAGAGTACCCAGCATACACTCATTCTACACAGTGTGTCACACACTATTCCTTCACAGTATGTCTCCGCTAAATCGTAAATCGGTTGGCTGCGGCACTTCGACCGGCGGTACTTCCACGGGCGCCACCTCGTCTGCCTTGATGATGTAGTCTTTGGTGAGCAGGGCTTTCCTCATCTCGTCATTGTTGCGGTTACGGCTGCTGTAGTATCGGAACTGGGCGAGGAGCTGGGAGAGCCAGTTAAGGAACCGCAGAACAAAGTGACTGACTTGCCCTGTCAATCCAGACAGGCGAAAATGTCTAAAAAGGCCATCCGTTATCGAGGAGAAAAGGTGGCAGTCTTAAGGGCTTCATTACACATCCAGTTAAAACTGACAGTTTCCCGTCCTCTTTGTGGTCAGAAAATATTACATGATGCAATCTTGGTAAACTTTGAAGACAAACAAAGACAGTGCTGAATAAAGTCCTTACCTTCATCAACAGATGTATGAGGAGTATCCTAAGAATTCAGTGGCAGGATAGAGTAAGAAATGAAGAGCTGTGGGAAAGGGACAGGACATAAGGATATAGAAGTAGAAATAGGACTAAGAAAGTAGCGATGGATAGGACACACTTTCAGAAAGCCCAACGGAAACATCACAGGACAGTCACTGCAGTGGAACCCACAAGAAGCACGAGGCAGGGGTAGGCCACGGGAAACATGGAGGAGATGTGTGGAAAGGGACATGAGAGAAATGAAGCTCACTTGGAACGAGCTAGGAAGGATTGCTGAGGACAGAGCTAAATGGAAGGAGCTTGTATGTAGCCCATACCCTGCCAGGGGTGAAAGGTATTGATGATGATGATGAATCTTGGCAAAAGTATTTCTTTCTTTCTTTTCTTTGTGATTTTCAAAACCCAGCAGGACAAAGTGTCTTGTCGCAACTGGCCGGACGGGTGCAGTGGCCCACCAACCCTACGAATATCATTTATAAACATAATTGAAACTTACATCCTAATGTAAAAACAATATCAAGTACAGGAACAGCATGCGAAAATTTACAAAACGAGTCGCAAAGACAAATCAGGAAAGTGTTATAGATTAACAGAGGCACTATGACAAATCAGGAAAGTGTTATAGATTAACAGAGGCACTATGACAAATCAGGAAAGTGTTATAGATTAGGAGAGGCACTATGACAAATCAGGAAAGTGTTATAGATTAACAGAGGCACTATGACAAATCAGGAAAGGATACGGTGACGTCGAGCCCGATGACCCCCAGACTGCCCACCAGCCAGGGAAAGTGCTCCAGGATGAACTCCAGGCTGAGGTCACGCACCAGGATCTGACCGCCGTACGTCAGGTTTCCCAGCACAGCCAGGGCAAAGGTGAACACCGCCAGGCCTTCTGTCGACTGCTTCTGGACCTGTACACGCAGGTGTGTTAGTTAAAAGTACATGTGTGTGTGAGTGTGTGTGTGTGTGTGTGTGTGTGTGTGTGTGTGTGTGTGTGTGAGTGTGTGTGTGTAAGTGTGTGTGTGTGTGTGTAAGTGTGTGTGGCACAGAGAGAGAGAGAGAGAGAGAGAGAGAGAGAGAGAGAGAGAGAGAGAGAGAAAGAGAGAGAAAGAGAGAGAATAAATAAATAAATAAACAAACAAACAAATAAATGAATGAATAATGAAAGAAAGAAAGAAATTTTATACAAATAAATAAATAAATATGGTGAGCAAAAACTTGACCATACTGGTCATGTTTATCAAGATTAATTAAGACTTTGAATGTTTCCTTACAACCAAAGTACTGCTCCCTCTGAGCAAGAAAGCAGGATACCTCAAAGTTCCTACAACACACTCATCTCATAAGCCTCCAGTCCAACACCAAAGTTTTCTTCTCACATGTCAGATATCCCCCATCAAGGTAGACAAGCTCTATAAAACAACAAACGTTCAGGGCTTTTAATCATACACGTATTTTGACAACCAACGAAAAAACTTTCAAAATGAGAAAAGTGAATTCTTACGTTTTTTATAATCTGGGCTGTTCTGGAACCAAGATAAAAAATGGAGGAGATGACGCCGATCACATAGCCAATGATGTCTGTTGTATCCTGGAAAAAAGATGTCAGAGAGGAATTCATTTTAGATATTGCACGTAATAAGCAATACCTCGCTAATGATCTAATTTACCAGTCAAAGCAAGGCAATTGAATAACAAAATAAATGGTCTTGTAGTAGATGCAAATTCACGCGTAGAGTCACATATCAACTGCAAATTCACAAGTTGAGGAACTAGATGAATGGGGTATTATTCAAAATAAAAATAGATGATAGAAAGACAAAATCATATCGCAGTTTAACCTATTTTCACGACAACATATATATATATTTTTATAACAACTCAAATGCAATTATGTTAAACGCCGCAGTGGTGCGTTCTTTTGGGGTAGGTGTATCATGCTTTTACAAGAGACAGGAAAGATCACAGCTCATCAATGTTACTGAGGTGATTAACAACAAATGAGGCACAAAATTGGGAGAAAAGTGACAGTGTACCGCACAAATGAGCGTGAGTGACGTCTCACAAACTATTCAACGGGTCTGTTTATACTGACAGATCTCATGAGTTTGTTTTAGTAAGAGTTTTACTGCTCTTACAACACAATAAGGTCATATAAGTGCTGTAGACTAGAGGTGTTACAAGAGAGTAACAAACACAAAAAAGAAGGAGAGATCACGATAATAGATTTTTTATAAGAAAGAAGGAGCAAACTACACCAGAGCACCCCTCAACCACCCACTGACATATATATCTCCAGCCCAAAAATAGAAACACCAAAAAGTAACACATCATCTTCCTCTTGCAGCGGACTCACATGCCAAAAGTTGGCAGATCCCGTGCCGAGAGAACAGTTCTTGCCCTTGTGCACGGCGGCCATCGCATCTACCGGCACCTGGCGAGACAGTACATTCCCATCTTGCCCCAGAACACCTCGACTGATCTCCTCCATGTTGTCTTCAGGCGAAAAGACCAAAACATCTTGCGAGTCCGGTTCGATTGACAACAAAGACCTGAAAATAGATTACATCTATTTTATAGAGGTGTATTTATAGAGGACTTTGTTAGGCGAAAAGTGGGAAGATTCTTTGATAAGTTCTGACAGGTTTCCGTATTACACAGGTTTCCCGTTAAGGCAGGTTCGACTGTACAATGTGTTGGAAGAGAAGAAAACTCATTCTCACACAGCCAATACAACAGTTACCACTCACAAAAACGAAGGCTCATACAGAGAAACACCTTTGGGTACCGCACCAGTTTAGAACCCTGCAGCTGTGGTAGATTTTTTTTTTCATAAAATCATTTTAAAAAACCTTGGCAGCCCAAAAAACATGCTTTAAAAATGCAGACAAATGATGATAATTATAATACTAATGAATAATTACAACAACAATAATAATAATAATGATTATAACGATTATGACAATTAACAAATATTAATTATAAAATAATGATAAAGATCATTACAAAAGCACACACTATCCGGGGGTTGGAAGCACTTCACATTGAAAAAAAAGAAAAGAAAAGAAGAGGAGAAAAAAGTCAAAAACCCCTCTCACCTGGACAAGCGGCCAGAGGTGGCGCGGTGAGACAGAGCAGCGTCGGGAGAAGTCCATGCCAGGGAGAGGACGGTGTGGGACAGGGCAAACAGGCCCATGAAGCACAGGATCAGCTGGGGGCCTTGGATACTCAGCTGCTCTGTCACGGGGAACGGAGGGCACAGAGTTTACTTATCAGCCCGACACTAATTTCTTTTTTCTTTTGAATGTACATATTTTAACACACACACACACACACACCCTTTCCTCAACACAATACAACATTTAGGAGCTGGGGGCCTTGGATACTCAGCTGCTCTGTCACAGGGATGGGAGGGCACAGAGTTTACTTGTTGGCCCAACGGTAATTTCTTTTTTGGGGGTTTTTGTATAGATATTGGAATTGTATTTTATCACACACACACATATCTTCCCCCCACCCACACACACACACACACACACACACACACACACACACACACACACACACACACACACACACACACACACACACATATCTTCCCCATCTCGTTCCAAAGATAGACCCCCCAATACCAGACCCAGTTTATTGAGGCCATGTCACGTCAGTGTCAGTCTCAGGTCACATATAATTTCACTGACCAGCATTCACCCCAGCCCATAGATTTATCTTATA